GCTATCCTTAGAGAATTTCTATGTGTATCCAACATGTTTATTGTTACAGATTTTCCATGTGGATCCAACATGGATATCCCTATAGATTTTCTACATGGACATCATTACAAATTTACCACTTGGATCCAACATGGCTATCCTTACAAATTTTCCACATGAATCCAACCTGGATATCCTTACAGGTTTTCCATGTGGATCCAAAATGGCATGGCTATCCTTACAGGTCTGTTATAGGCTCTAAATGTCATATGTAAGCATATATCTCCCGAGGGCAAAGTTTAAACATTCAAAAATACAACAGACAGCCAAGAAAGGGTAGATAGTACAAAATGTTGTGATAAAAATAACTAACAATAATAAAATGATTTTGGACTAATCAAAATGCAGCAATTAAATATTTTATCTATAAGAAATAGAAAAAAAGAATCAGGCTGGAACAACATTTGCCTGCAGATCAAACAAAGTGTAACTTTGCCATTTCCAGAAAAATACTCATTACAACAGACACCTCATTACAGAAGGAGAAGTGTCATATAAAAGACAACAAAAATAAGAAAACTGACCCAAAAGATCATTCTTAGATATTAACCTAAGAACTCAAATTAAATTCTTAAATAATTTCATCAAATTGAGACTCACATATGAATGTCATGCATGGTGTCCAACTCTTTCATAAATGCTACATACAAATGTTTTCTCAGATCAATAGCAAAAAAAAACAAAAAAAACCAACTTTTCATTATAGATTGGCACTACAGAATTACCAAGAACTTTACCAAGTAACAAAAATCATATAACTTCAAGACTTCCAACTACAGCAATGACTAAAATGGATAAGCCAAACAGAAAATAATGACAATCAAAATGTTGATCTACCACACTACTTTAATCAAAAGGTTAGGAAGGAAACTCCCATCAATACTAGAATGAGCAATAACAGTGGACTAATTTCCACTAATCTAGTTTCCTGAAAGAATGTTTTAAGGAAAAGATTTTATAAATTTCAAGCAACAGTCATGCTAACTGCTCAGTCAATGAATGCTGAAGTTTCTCGTATGGACATAGTTAATCGGACCATTACCATTTAGAGCTTCAGACAGAAACAAATCCCCTCGGACATCCAGACAGGATAAAATTAAATAAACATTAAAATAAAAAAAATGATGAAAAAAACAACAAAACATGTTCTAGTCAAAATTACTTTTTTCAAGACAACACTGAATGAAAAAAGTGTGAATATTTGAGAAAAAAGGATGTGTTAGCCTTTAAAAAGATCTGGGACAATTAAATTTTTTTTCAGGCCAGACATTATTAGGGGCTTTTGAAAACAAAAACCAAGCAAAAAAAATAAAAAAAAGAATTGATTATTATGCCCTGCTTTTTAAACATTACTTCTCAGTACAATCATAGTCCACAGGTGTGCAAAAGCAGTTAATGAGAGCAGGGAGATGAAAATAATCTAATACTGCTTCATCCACATCAAGTCAATCCCAAACATCTGTTGGACGAATGGATTGCAAACAAGATGACATCAATAGGATCAAAGTTAGAACCAAGAAAAAACAAAATGATGTATTGATCCTTTATGATTTCTGGAGCTTGTATAAATATAAACTGCAGTTTTGATGATTCTTAAAAAAAATAAAATCCATCAAAATCATAGTTTAAATAGAAAAGTGGTATTTTTACTTGAGAGTTCTTGTTCAATTTTTCTTTTTTACAATGATCTTCACCTTTTTTTTTTTTACAATAATCTTCACCCTTTTTTTGTTTTTTGTTTTTTACAATGATCTTCACCTTGTACAAAGCCCGAAAACCACTCAAGGTAGAGCATTACAAACTAAGAGGCCCAATTTATGTGGATATGTAGGGAAGATAACTGTTAATCCTAGACTTGAACAGGTTAAGAGTCTAGTGATCCGGGAAGCATCTTTTTGGGAGTCGGTTCCACAAAGCAGTGGTTCATAGGAAGAAGCTGCTCAAGTGGTACTTACATCTCACCAATGGAATACAAATGGAATGAGGGTTGTTTGCTACAATGTGTGTGGCATGGTGGAACTAAGGAATGTAGCTCATCTGAGCACTTTCTATGGATATAGTAATAGAGCAGTGCAAGGCTTGTGACATTTTATCTGTGAGAAAGGTTTTGTAGGGTGGAAAATAATTTGTCACCCACAAGGATGCAGAGACACTTTTGGTTTCTATCGAGGATGGTAAGTGAAAACTGGCCAGCTCATCCCCGTATATGGCAGCAGGAATTCATTTTTGGCTTGATCTGGCTCTTGTAACAGTAGAGCAGGAGGATTAGATTGTTACTGCAGAGGTACAGGGAACCATCTAATTTTTCAGCATCTTTAGCGATGGATTGTATAGTGTAAATAAAAAGAAATAGTAGCATAGGTAATTGGTATTTATTGTTAATTTCAGATATATAAAGACTGTCATGGGCCATAAGAAAGATAAAATCTTAAAAAAGAAATAAACTATGAAATAGTGAAAAAGTTGTACAGAAATCTGTACAACTTTTTTTTTTGGAAACTGAAATCATTGGGAAGAGACAAAAAAAAAGAGATAAAAATTGGCTTTAAGAATGTAACAAAAACAGAACTGAAAGAAATAAAAGCAAAAGAAGTAGATTGCAAAAATATTTGAAGAATCTAATTTTGCAAATGTCAAATGAGAAATATTAAGCACACTGACTAAAGGCATGAAAGCAGCTGAAGTATCCCTTTAAATAAATACCACAAAGTTGCTTGTAGTGGAGATGAAAATTGATTTCTGATGAATGTAGAGCTACATTGGATGGACATAACAGTTGAACCATTCATAGCTTGATTTGTTTTACGTCATATCAACCTAAATGGGTTAATTAAAGCCAACAAGATTTTTATTGCTGGTAACATTTTTTTTTTCAAAAATGTATTGCTGGTGTAAACATTTGGATTAGCATTATAGGCAGTAAAATTGTTTCAAAATTAGTAACAGTATCAAAAAATGCAGAGAAGTAACCTTACTTCTTAGACCAGATATTTTTGAGTGGTGCAATTACAAGCAAGAATTTTAAGTGTATATACATGCAGGACAATGTTCCTTCATATTTTATGAAACAGGTTATTGAACATCTTGCCAAAAGAAATAGTTTCTAAAACACCAAATTGATAAAATAGCTCTCAGCTTCTAGCTAGTAATACGACGGAAAATTAATGATTTATTATGTAGGTAAAAATGGGAAACAGTGTACAAATCAAGAAGATCTCCAGGAAGCAATAAAAACTACTGCAAGTTATGTTCAAGTTGAAAGAGTAGAAAACAGAATTAAATCAACAGCTTCGTGATAAATGTTATAGAATGCCTAAGAACCATATTAACATGCAAGATAAGAAAATAATTTATTCAGGTATATGGGATATTGGGTTAATCAAATAAATGTTTTTATGTGGCTTTTATCTTTTGGATTTATTTATAAATAAAATTTATGCAGCACTTAACTGGTATTATAAAATTCAACACTCACAAAACAAGTTGTTACCATGTCTATTTCTGGGATGAAGAGTTATTATTTACATTATTTATATTCAAAATATTGTCCTCAACTTTGTTGTTGTTATCACCTGATTGCCTTCTGTTTGAATTTCTGGGATGAGGAGTTATCATTATTTACATTCAGACTATTGTCCTCATCTTTGTTGTTGTTATCACCCGAGTGCCTTCTTTCACATAGCTCAAACATCATACAAAGAAAAATTCAGATGAAAATTTAGGAAGTGGGTTGGTTGGTCCAAGATGGCAGATACAAGTATTGACATGCTGGCAATTTTGAGGCATGAACAAAACTGCTGAAAGTGCTCAAAGAATTTGGAAAGTTGGAGAAAATGAAACAGTACTGCCAAAAATTGTTTTGTCATTTAATAGTGGTGATTTATTGCTTGAAATAAAGCCCAGAAATGGATGACTATCAGTTGTCGATAATGATGCCTTAAAACACAAGGAAGAAGAAAAACTGACCACCAGCACATAAAAATTTTCAGAAGAGGTCATTACCTAAACTTTAAACAAAATGGAGAATTTTTTTTTAAAAATACACCAATTATATAGACTGAATTGGGATAATTTTTTCTGAAAATAATTTTTATAGATTAGCATCTATTAAAACCTCAACAATGTGCAACATTTGTCTGAATAAAAATTTTTTAAAAAATACTGATCTTTTTTATATAATTTTAGAAGGGATGTCCTGTTCATAATACCAATACAGTATAAAATCAGTCAGTGACTTTTTAAAGCATTATCTGAACTTTGTTTAAATGTTGAAGAAAAAGAACAAAAAAAAACAAAAGAATTGTTTCACTTAACAAACAGTATATAATCCATTTGTTCTTTAATTAAAAGGTATATATATTTATTCTTGAATGAAAAGAAATTTTTTTGTAAAAATGTTAGAGACCAATCTGACACTGTATTTATATTACGAACATGGCTCCCTCTTCTAAAATCAATATAAAATTAATATTCTTCAATTCTGACAAATGTTGTACCTTCAGAAAAGTCTAATGAATACCAATCTACAAAAATGATTTCTAAATAATTTTCCCAATTTTTATGACTAGACTAGTCAATTTCGGTAATGCCAAAAAACAGAGACAAACTCTTGAGATGAGAAAATACAAGAACGCTTGTGATAAAGAAAGTTATTGAAAATTTATATGAACTAACCAAAGGTTATTATTTACATTGGTTTAACTTTGGGTGTTTCAAGAAATGTTTGCTTTGCTCACATGTTTTTGATGAAGAATTGAAAAAAAAGGAAATTTGTCATGTGTCAAATATTTAGCAGCTTTGATATAAAATGTCAATCCAAAAAAGAAAACTGAAATATGTCACTGTTGAACTAACTAAAATTATGATTTAAAAAAAAAATATTGTTCATTTTTTTTCATTTTTTATTATGAATAAAATCATTAGTACATCAAAATAATAGGAAAAAATAGTTTTCAAGAAATTCAAAGCAGTAAAGAAAGAAAGTTAATAAAAAAGAAAAAGTATTTTTGAAAAAATAAATGAAAGAGAAAAAAATGAGATGTGAACTGACTAAAAAAGAGAAAAAGAGAAAAACATAGAGAAAAGGAAAAAGGAAAAGAAAGTGTAAAAAATAAAAGATATAAAAAGAGCAAAGAAAAGTAAGTCAGGAGAGGAGGAGGAGAGAATAATGAGAAGAAAAAAAGGTAAAATAAAATGGAGTAAAGAGTGGAAAGCTAATAGTAAAGGGAGAAGAAGAAAAAAGAGAAAGAAGGATAAAATAAAAATAGAAAATTTATAAAAATAGGAATAAAATACAAAATTTGAACATTGAGTTAAAAACAAAAAATAGAAGCCGAAAAATATACATAGATAAAAGAAAGAAAACAAAAGAAGAAATGGATAAAGAATGAAAACATGAAGAAAAGGAGAAAAACAAAGAATAAAGGAAAAGAGAATGAAGAAAAAATAAAGAAAAAGAAGGGAAAATAAAGAAAAAAGGAAGGAAGAAAAACAAAGAAATGAGAAAGGAAAAGCTAAGAAAAAGAGAAAAGAAAAGAAAAAAATAAAAAGGAAAAATAAAGAAAAATAAAAAGGAAAAATAAAGAAAAATAAAAAGGAAAAATAAAGAAAAATAAAAAAGAAAAATAAAGAAAAATAAAAAGGAAAAATAAAGAAAAATAAAAAGGAAAAATAAAGAAAAATAAAAAGGAAAAAACAGAACGAAAAATATAGATAAAGAAGGAAAATAAAAAATGGAAAGAAGGAAAAATAAGAAAAACAAGATGAAAGAAAAAATACAGAAAAAAAGGAAAATAAAGAAAAAGAGAAGGAAGCAAAAATACAGAAAAAGAACATATGGTAAAATAGAAAAAAATGAGCCTAAAGAAGGTAGAATAAGTGAAAAATTAAAAAAAAGACAACAAACATAGGAAGAATAGATAAATTGTTTAAGAACTATGAAGAAAAAATATGAAAAATGAAGAGAGTAAATTGAAGAGGCAAAAGAATAAAACACCAAAATATGGATGGCAAAATAAATGAAAATCAGGAAGAAAAGTTAATATTAACTTCTTGATAATTAAAAACAAATTAAACAAAAAATATCTTAATTTTATCCAATTTTCTTTTTCACCCAATAGCTTTTTTTCTCTCTCTTTTTATTTTTTTGGCATTCTTTTTGATAATATTACCCATCACCACCATTAATGAAACAAGTCAAGCATTTAATGTCAATTGATAGTGGTGTCATATCCTTTTTGTTCACAGGGACAGTGATGACAGCAAGGGTGGAGAAATACAAGAGCATACAATAAGAAACAACAAGCAAAAATAAAATAGAATGTTGCGGTTGAAGACAGCAAGATAAGCAAAACGTTTTAAACAGGCAGAAAAAAAAAATAAAAAGCCGTAAAATGGGGGAGTATCACTGGAAAGTCAAGATATCTTCTTCAATTGTCAAGACAGACAAATGCAGTTTAACAGAGATGTGGAGAGGGAATTTTTTTTGTCTTTTTATCTGTTGAACAAGTTGCAATATTAGATTGATTGATATTTATTTTAAAAGTAGCTTTTCAACATGTTATAATTTCCAGGAAGAAAGCCATGAAAAGTTTTTGAAAAGGAAGACATTTTTCCAGTTTCTTTTTTTGTTTTAACAAAATCTTTCAAGTACAAGTGTTATCTGTTGATTATTAAAACATACCAAGGGTAATACATACTTCTCCTACAAAGAATTAGGGTCCAAACTTACTATATTCCTTTTTTTAATAACAAACATGTGAGCAACAACAAGGTTATGGTGAAAATGGAAACAAAAAAGAAACTTATACTTAAAATCAGGAAGAGGCAGTTGAAACTTCTGGGGCACAAAATGAGGAAGGAGGGCTTAGAAAATTTAATACTCACAGGACAGATTGAGGGAAAGAGGAAAGCAGTGTGTAACATACTTAATGAGCTTGAGTAAATGGATGGTCGATCAGGGTTTTGGAGAAATAACAAAAAGACAAAACTTATGAAGAGATACAAAAGACAGGAAGATGTGGAGGCCCATGAGAGTCTACATCCCAAAGAGACACAACACATAAAAGAATAAAAACCAGATTAAAATTGAAATTATTAAGATTTAGAATACCTGATTCAAGATATAATTTTATGATAAATGATTGATATGAAATATCAAATAAATTATCTAAGATGGAGGACATGAAAACTAGTTTGAATTTTTATTTTTTTGTTGATGCATCATTCTTTTCATGTAGGATTATCATAAGAACTGAACAAATCTTCAAGAAATTCTTCAAACTACAGTAGACAATTTAGAAAATTTAACAGTTAATAACATTTAAAAAATATATCTGTGGGATCTTTACATAGGAAATATGATAAAATAAAATGCTAATATGATTAATTGAAAGAAGAAAGTAAAATGAATAAAAGAAAGTTAATAGTAAGAAAAATAAAGCATGTATATCCACAGAAAATATAGTAATAATGAACACTTATAATTAAAAATATAATTTATGATTCTATATTATTTTAGGGAAAGCATGAAATTTAATTAAAACTTATGGTTAATCTACAGATTAGGACCTGCGCTCAGTTTGCAATAAAATTTTTCCGAATACTTACATTTAGGTATAAATGTACATGCTTCATTTGAAAATGTCTTGATAATTTTGATAAAATCTACCATCAAGACTAGGGTTAACCATTATCTGTTGTAACTTAAGGATGAACAGTATAATCAAATAAAGGTTGATAATGAAAGATAATACTTAGAACAAGAACAACACATATAAGATTTGCCAGCAGCACGCAGAAGAAATAGTCAACTGCTAGAAAAGAGTCAAGTGAATTCCACAATGAATCTCCAACTGCAGACCAACATACAGTATTTACTACAGTATTTATGTGAATGGCGACATACCCATTATCATCCGTAGGTATACTACAGCACTATCCTAGATATCCTCATAATATACAGGCTTACAGCCACATCACATTTAAACAGCAATTCCCATATAATCAACAAAAATTAAGCAACATTAAGCTTGTTCAGTACATTAATGGGTGACTACTTGGGAACACTAAGTGCTATAAGCTTGGACATGTGGGTGGTGTAATGGATAATGGCTTGGAATTTTTAATTGGAGAGCCAAGTACTCATTCAAATTGTTGTTTGTTATATTCACTTACATGCAAATGCCCTTGGGAAAGGCATGAATCTACCTCATATCCCCACCCAGCTTAGTAAATTAATAAGACTTGAGAAAATAATGAATGATGATACAAAAAAATAAAATAGTAAACATTCCTACAATCTAAAAATAAAATGAATCACTCATAATATGCACTTCTTTGTTCCTTCCTTTATGCTCTTTGTTGTAGCATACATATGAATGATAATGGGTATGTCGCCATTCACATAAATACAATAGTAAATACTGTATGTTGGTTTGTAGCTGGCAATTCATTGTGGAATTCACTTGACTCTTTTCTAGCAGTTGACTACTTCTTCTACGTACCACTGGCAAATCTTATATGTGTTGTTCTTGTTCTAAGTATTATCATTCATTACCAACCTTCATTTGATTATTCTATTCAGTAGCCTTCCCTAGGTTACAACACTCTTACAACAAGCTACTTCAGTAACCCTCTACCTTGAATAGTTCTTGGGCTTTGTATTAAGTGAACAATAGTACAAAAATATTGGCGTGTGAATAAACTAGGATTTTATCCAAAAAAATTTCTACACTTAAAATAAAATGTAAAAAGCAAAAAATACATTAAGGTATTGCTGTTTGTCTATCTTCATGATTATGTCTCTCTTATTTGCAGCCTTAATGAAAGAAACTGATGAGAGAGGGTTGATGTTAGTCTACAGGTTACAGATACAAGATTGGGACATTGTTAATCACAAAAGAAAATTAAAAAATAAAATAAAATATATGCATGACTATAAAACAAACCTGAGCTGTATCTCCATTCTCAATAGCATGTACAACAGCAAGAGAGCTCGGGTGTATTGCAGAGCGCACGTCTCCGTTACAGGCACGCAAATGCTGATCTTTGCTTGTAGATAAATTAATTGCCGTCTCTTGTTGACCTTCTGCTTTCATTATCCCATCTTCCTGAAAAACATAAATGGGAGAAGAGAGATTTTATTATGGTTTTTTGACAGACTTTCTCTGTTTATTTTTATCATCTTTTCTTTTTTAAAGACTTCTATGCTTTTCTTTTTGTTACGTTTTAATGGCAATTTTTAAATGTTTCTCCTCTTTCTGTCTTTCAAGAGATTTCTTACTATTCTTTCCATTTCACTGACTCCTTGATAGTGATTTACTAAATTTATATTAATTTTAGCACTTTTTCTCACCCCCAAAAATATATCCCCCTTTTTTTTTTATTAATTTACTCTTTTTAGAGGAATCACTATTTTAAATATTTAACTGATGTTCTGTCGAGATATCTGACTTGTTTTCTAAAGATCCTGATGATTTCGACAAAACTTTTTCTTCTAAAATACATCTTATACCATTCACATACAATTTCTTACTTTTTGCTAATGAAACTGTGGGTAGAAAAATGATTACTGAAAAATAGTTCCAAAGTATAAAGAGATGGACAATGAACAAGCTGAGAGAGACAGATGGACAGTGAACGAGCCAAGAGATAGAAAAAAAATGTACAATGAGGAAACTCGGTGAAAAACAGATGGACAATGAACAAGCCATGAGAGAAACAGATGGACAATGAAGAAACCAAGAGAAACAGATGGACAATGAACAAGCCGAGAGTGTAACTGATGGACAATGAACAAGCCGAGAGTGTAACTGATGGACAATGAACAAGCCGAGAGTGTAACTGGTGGACAATGAACAAGCCGAGAGTGTAACTGGTGGACAATAAACAATAAGAGAGAGAAACAAATGTACTATGAGCAAACTGAGTAAAAACAGATAACAGATCAACAATGAACAAGCCATGAGAGAAACAGATTTCCAATGAATGACCTTAGAGAGAAACAGATTTACAAAGAATGAGCCAAGAGAGAAACAGATGGACAGTGAATGAACAAAGAGAGAAAAAGATGGACAGTGAATGAGAAAAGAGACTAAGAGATGGACAATAAACAATAAGAGAGAGAAACAAATGTACAATGAGCAAATTGAGTGAAAAACAGATAACAGATGGACAATGAACAAGCCCAGAAAGATGGACAATGAAGAAAGCAAGTGAGATGGATGGACAATAAACAAGCTGAGAGAGAAACAGATTTACGATGAATGAGCTGAGAGAGAAACAGATTTACAATGAACAAGCCGAGAAAGAAACAGATGGACAAAGAATGAACCCAGAAAGAAAGAATGGACAAAGAACAAACCGAGAGACTAACAGATGGACAGAGAACAAGCCAAGAGTGTAACTGATGGACAATAAACAATAAGAGAGAGAAACAAATGTACTATGAGCAAACTGAGTAAAAACAGATAACAGATTTACGATGAATGAGCCGAGAGAGAAACAGATTTACGATGAATGAGCCGAGAGAGAAACAGATTTACGATGAATGAGCCGAGAAAGAAACAGATGGACAAAGAATGAGCTGAGAAAGAAACAGATGGACAAAGAATGAGCCGAGAAAGAAACAGATGGACAAAGAATGAGCCGAGAAAGAAACAGATGGACAAAGAATGAGCCGAGAAAGAAACAGATGGACAAAGAATGAGCTGAGAAAGAAACAGATGGACAAAGAATGAGCCAAGAAAGAAACAGATGGACAAAGAATGAGCCAAGAAAGAAACAGATGGACAAAGAATGAGCCGAGAAAGAAACAGATGGACAAAGAATGAGCCGAGAAAGAAACAGATGGACAAAGAATGAGCCGAAAAAAACAGATGGACAAAGAATGAGCAGAGAAAGAAACAGATGGACAAAAAGAAACAGATGGACAAAAGAATGAGCAAAGAAAGAAACAGATGGACAAAGAATGAGCTGAGAAAGAAACAGATGGACAAAGAATGAGCCAAGAAAGAAACAGATGGACAAAGAATGAGCCGAGAAAGAAACAGATGGACAAAGAACAAACCGAGAGACTAACAGATGGACAGTGAACAAGCCAAGAGTTAAACTGATGGACAATAAACAATCTGAGAGAGAAACAAATGTACAATGAGCAAACTGAGTGAAAAACAGATAACAGATTGATAATGGACAAGCCCAGAGAGAAACAGATGAACAATGAACAAGCCAAGAGAGACTGATAAACAATGAACAAACCGAGAGAGAAACAGACTGACAATGAAAAAGTAGAGAGAGAAATTGATAGATAATGAACAAACCAATAAATAAATTAAATAGATACAAAATTGATATTATTCAGACACAATGCTATAATAATGGAATTCTGGTGAGAATTGAATACTCTGCATGATCTAATGGTCTATTCAGCTCATTATTTATTGCTGTAAGTGAGGTGCCCAAAGAAATCTTCAAAAGGATTTGTACACTCAACTATCAGTTTAGAAGATTGTGGCTGAAAACATAGAAACTGTATTTTACTTTCCTTCCATTCTTATATATTTTGTTAGTATAAATATTATATTTTGTTAGTATAAATGTTATATTTTTGGGGTACATATGTTTGAGTAGACAGCCCTGCTTTTTAAACGGTGAAATTAATGTTTCTCAGCCTAGAGATTGAAAGTGTTAATATGAATGTGCAGCACAACATGAAATGAACCCATGTTCTCATCTTAATCTGGGCAAGCCAAGTGTGCTTTACCAGTGAGCTACAAAAAGTCAACACAGTAAAGTAAGATTTAATTTCCCGACTTAGGAAATGTACATCTCTCGATGCAACCTTTCATAATCTATATCTGATAACTTCATTTTTTCATACCAGAAATGTAAGCAAAGTATTATACTTTTTATTACTATAATATGAAATAGTGTTGGAGTAAAAATCCATTAATTACTGAAAAAAATTCATTATACATACATACATATATGTGGGGAATCATGATGTTACTAAAAAGTTTTAGTAACATCGTGATTCCCCACCTGATGAGATATTTTGAAAAAGATTTTCTTTTTTTTGATGTTGAAACAAAAATGTACAATTTTGTAGTGGATATGTGCATGTTCTAATGTAACACTGCATAAGAAATAAATAAATACCTACGCCTCTACTTTTTGTATTGAGCACTGTTTTTAAAATGAATGTTTTGAATGCAGAGATCTTACTGTTTGTTCTTATACACTCTGAGATATATATATATATATATATATATATATATGTATGTATGTACCCCAAAAGAAAATATAAAATTAATATTAAAATAAATCTTGTTAATAAGTAATCTAGCAGTTGAATGGTGTATGACATTTTTTTGCTGTTAAAATTCTAAACAGTTTTTTTTAGAACAATAAACATTGCTCAGTGCATGTACAGTGATGGCAGTGTCAAAGGTGAAACTCTCCTTTTGATACATTATTTTTTGGTGGGTTTGAAGGTGAAATTTTGCCCACATTTTGCTAATATTTTAGATAGTTCAATGCTTCAATATGCTGTTTATATATTTAAAAAGAAATTTAAAAAAAATAATTTTAAGCTAAGATTACGACAGAAGTATTAAAATATATAAAAAATACTCTGAGTGAAGAAACACTTATTTAAAAAATTCAATTTGTAAAAATAAAAAATATTTCAATAGGAGTTCATAGGTTTGCCTATCATCCAGTTCACACTCTTTTCCAGTCTTTTAAACAGGAATAGAGGCATATCCCTTGTTTCCTGTTTAGGATTGGGTTTCCGGTTTCTTCTAAAGTCTACTTCAACACTATACTTCTAACATCTCCGCCCTTATCTATAAAATGTCATTTACTATTTATTTATTTATTATGCAATAGGAATTCATAGGTTTGTCTATCATCTGGTTCACACTCCTACCATGTTTTGAACAGGAGTAGGGATTTTTCCCTTTTTTTCTGTTTAGGATTGGGTTTCTTGTTTTTTCTAAAGATTTTCATTTTCTTTCCTTTCCAAAAGCCCCTTGAATCTCAGTGGTATTATCACCTTGCTTGGGGCAAATTGATTAAAAAAGAAGAAAAAAAAATTAAAACGTTATATGAAAAAAAATGTAAATTTTTACATGACCTAAAATTAACTATGAAGTTAAGTGATTTGAACTTATATTTATCTAATTACTGTTACTCTGTTTTAAAAAGAAATAATGAGCCCTTGATTTGCAAAAATCTGCTTGCCTTGCATACACTAACTTCCAGCAATAGACTGGTCAGCATATTTCGTTAGGAGTAAATTATATATATATATATATATATATATATATATATATATATATATATATATGTGTGTGTCTGTGTGTGTACAGAGCCTTAAAATCTAACAAGCAATGGTTATCAGTTGGAGGACTGTATTCATTATTACCAGAAAAGTGAGAAAAGTAGATGAGTGAAATATCGACAACCTCCACCTGTCTCTTTGAAATCACTAACCTCATACCCATTAATACAGCCAATAGAAACTGCAAATACAAGGCGAGAAGAGAAGTGACCGATAGGTAGAGTAGAATCTTGCATTGATGAGAAGGAAAAGATGAAACAAAAAAATGCAGAGAATAGCTTGGCAATATTACAGCTTTTCTTCAAGTGACTCAACTTACCCCATCCCCAGAATTCCAACTCTCTTACCCTGCATCTCATCCAAAGACATCAATGCAACAAAGCTCCAATTGCAGCTCAAGCATTTCCACTTTTGATTATTACTATGGTCAAGGAGTTCAAGTCTTACCATTTTTTTTAAAGTGTACATATATATATATATATAATAGCTGTGTGGTTCCTTTTGAAGATGGCTTTTTGATTAAAAGTGACATTACAATGTCAGAAGCAAGACGGAGTATTGTGTTGAGGGGCGAAGGAGGAATTTTTTTTTGCAATCTTTCACCATTCTGATGACCCAAGGACGTTGAGATCTTTCTCAAAAGTGCACTATATCACAGACTATGTCCAACCTTACAAATGTGCCCATGTAGGTCATTAACAGCTTTGGGACTAAGAGCACAGTGCATCAAGAAGACTGTCACCAAAGACAGTCACTTACTTTCATCATTCTTAGTAAATAGAGAACAGTTTATATATAAGTAAATATATATAATGGTAATACAGATAATGATTTATGACATGGACTTCTTTTAAATTGGTTATTTCTTAATGTTATTGTGTGACACAATATAAAATAAATTAGGGAAAATTAAGTAATGTCTTTCATGAAAAATATAATTTCTGTAAATAAATTCAATTTAGTCAAGTCTCCTGACAAGTGGATGTAATCTCTGCTAAACTCTTAGAGACAGGTAATTGAACATTTAATTTTATTTATTGCTATTAATGATATATCTCTTGATATTGAGTGCTTTAATTACAAAGACTGCTTGCCTTAAAAGTGTCACAAATATAACAAAAATATTTATTTACACTTTTTAAAAAGGGTGTGATGGATAAATTATCATCTGAATTACACAAAAATGAAAATAACACTGACATCTCATTTTAACAGATATATTTACCAAAATTATACAAAAATATCTTGAAATACTAGAGGAAATTTATTCAATAAAATCGCCATTGGCTTCAACAACAGCCTCCAGATGACTTTGGAATCTCCTGCAACTCTTCTGGACAGTCTCTTTGTTTAAGTTGGTGAATGCTGCCATAATCCTTGCCTTCAGTTCATCTTTGGTGTTACAAGAAGTTTTATTAGTCTCTTGCTAAACTGCAGCTAACACATAATAATCAAGAGGATTGCAGTCTGGGAAGTTAGGTGGCCAGATGTAAGGGATGATGTGGTTGAAGAAATTGTCTGACAGCTATGACTGAGTTCTCCTACTTGTGTGACATGGTACAGAGTCCTGTTGCCAGACATAGATTCTTTGAGCAGCCACACATTTAACCTAGGGTAGCACTACCTCCTCAAGGCACTTGATGTAGTCCTCCATGTTGAATCTGAGGCCCTCACCAACAAATTCGGGAGTTCTTTTCTTATTAGAAAAGATCAGAGTAAGTATTCCAAACTGCTGTACCTTCATAATCACCATGAGACTCATCAAAATCTTTCTGAAGCCTCTGCACTGATTGACACCCAAACACTCTAAAACATTCATATTAGAGCTTCCACTATGAATGCCAAGTAGTACAGTATGATGTTTCCAAATTTCTGGTGGAATGAATTGTATCATTGTGCTCTTTTTCTCACAGACTGTTCCCAACTGACCCTACTATACTGTACAGTCAAATCAAAAGCAAGCAACACACATGTGCAAAATGAAAAATATATAATGGCGAAAATTTACCCATCGCACCTTATATGTGTGTGTGTGTGTGTGTGTGTATATATATATATATATATGGTGGACTCTTCCATCGCATTCAATGTATGAGGGTCAAACAACTCCATTTCTAGGAACCAACAGCCCAGATACTAGAAGATGAGATTTGATTATAGTGGTGAAGGCCTTGTGCAGAACTAACCACACTTTTTGAAGGGCCTAATACAGAGAGCTGGTGCACTACATACCACAAGGTCCCCAAATGACCTTCCGCAGGTTTTGAATTCAGAGTTGTCCTTTTCCTAGACCAGTTGCTATCCAAGGTTATAGAACCCAGTTTGTCCTGCTATTTACCCACAGCTCTCTGATTCCTCAATCTGAGTTGCTATCCACTACTCAACTGTGCCTCCTATATATATGATTCCAATATATGTATATATCAAAATTAAAATTAGATATTTGTTAACATTTATGAAAATTACGTTATGCTGGTGTTTAAGTTACAAAGTAGATATTTGTTAAAATGTTTACATTTACCCATTAATATATATGATTATGATCTGTATATTCCTTTTCTAATGGGAAAATTGAATTTAAAGAAAGATAGGCAAAACATTTACTATCATTCAGATATGAAAGATACAGAAATAGCATTATGTTGTTTAAACATATACAGGAACTAAAAGTAAAAGGGAAAACACCAGGCGTAGAAGGAGATATAATAATAAAAATAAAAAACACATTAAGAAAACCAGAGGAAGACATTACAGTCTATGTATGGAGGAAAAGCTGAAGCAAGTCAATGTATGAATAAAGGAATGAAATTTTTGAACTGTCGGCATGCAGACACATTCCTTTTGAAAAATACGTAAAAGGACTGTAAACCATGGGAGTGTCCAAAACAAACAAACGCCCATTTTGAGAATCACACTGTGTGAAACAGTCTGTTAATGGGCAAATAATCAATGAATGTTATTTTTTTCTGTCTTTCCTTATATCTATATATATATATATATATATATATATATATATATATATATATATATATATATATATATATATATATATATATTGTGTGTGTAGTAATGGTCACTGAACCAGGATAGCAGACGTTGCTACTTTGTAGAACATCCAGTCCTCAGAATTGCAATACCTAAGGTTTAAAATAAATTTTAAAAAAATGAAAAATCTTTCTTGAAGCTTTTAAGTTTAATTTCAAGCTGATAGATTAAATTTAATATTTTCACTAAGCAAAATAGTTTACAGTATTTCAAAAGTAATTTAAATTGATTGAAATGTGTTTTGAGATTGTTAAGCATCACTGATTTTAGCACCATTTTTAGCTATCTCTCATCACAATGTAATTCTCTTTATTAAAAATTCTTTCAAAAGTAAAATGTACTTTTCTGAAATTTTAAGGAGTATTAGCTGATTTAAAGTTTAATTAATCTGATTTGAAACAAATATTACTTCAAGTTCAAAATATCACAGCAATGCATTTTTTAACACAGTGGTAGCTGTTTATTTAAGGTGTTGACAGCTTCACTAACTAATTTTTTCTATGGTGGACATACCTGTGAAATTAACTTGAGGAATAATGTAACAAGAGCATCTTTTTTAGATAATTTTTAACTACCCAGTAATCTTAAAAATTTAGGAAAATATTCTCTTTAAACTAATATTTTATTAAATTTTCAGTACATTTGCTTTAAATTTATGATTGTTATGGCTCTTATTTCCTGATAATGTCATGTATGGACATCTGTATTTACAAAAATTGGCATGTTTATATTTACATACACAAAAAATTTCATAAATTCTTTTTAAAATATTGGGGTCAATGAATTGTACTAAGCTTTTCCATTTTTGATAAGTAAATGAAGTTTTTACTTAAAATCACCTAACAGTAACAAAGTAATACAGAAATTTAAAAGATTTAAAACTTTATAAATTATTCTAATTAAAATTTTAAAAAATGAAAAAATTCTTATTCATATTTCAAGCTTTTCTAATTAAATAATGTCTTAGTTTTATTGCATTCCTTTTTTACGATTCAAAGCAGATTTTCCATAACTGGTGGTCCTGTTGGTATGAAAAGAAATTCATGACTTAAATTCTCCAAGTAGATCTGCTTTAACTAATATAAACATTAATAGGGACAAAATTTGATAAAATTAAATAAGTGGGGGGTAACAGATGTAAAAAATATTTTTACCAAGATTTTCTAAACAAAAATTTCATTTATTTGTGATTAAGCCCTGAAAGTTTCATTAAAATCCAACAATCATTTGATTTTTTAAAAAAGATTTGCAAATCAATGTGTTTTTTCAACACAAAAAAAAAGAGGCCCAAATTTCCTATACTAATGTTTGGTCCTCCTGTTGATGCAAGAAAAAGAAGAATTTTAACCAAAATCTCAAATGTTCCAAACAGGATGAAAAAGATATATAATTTAATAATCAAAAAATCCTTTGGTCTTTCCTCTTAATAGCAACAAGAATTTCTCCATGGTATGCTAATTTTTTAGCAAATCAGTGGGGATAATTAATTTAAAGACAGAAGTAAAATTATAAACATGCACAGATTTACACACATTGGTGTGCAAATTAATCATTTAATCCAAATATCACACAAAAAAAACCCCAGAAAAATTCTACAAAATGTTATATTTTTGTGTTTGACCAAGACACTTGAGTTAAAAGTTGCAGTTTTGAAAAAAAAAAATGAACAATTATTTTAACAATGAACAAGAATTCCGACCAAAAAAGGTAAACCACAATAAATGAATAAGAAATCTTAAAATCAACATATTTATATTTTGACACCATTTCTTTTTCAAAACTTGACCTCATTTCAATTTTTTAATGCAACATGGTTTTTTTCTGGTTATTTTTTCCTTAGATTATGCATTTCTCAGATTGTGAATTTAACTTTTCAGCCAACACTGGAAAATCTTGCATCAAAATCAGTTGAATTAAACTTTTGGAAATGCCAGCGATTCCTGCTAACTCATCAATAATACTGCAATTACTGACCTCATGTGCTCCAAGAAATTTCTTGCTATTTTCATATTTGAGAGATAGAGTCGGTGACCATAATGTGACTTTGACTGCCATATTTCCTGTCTTCAAACATAGTTACTGCTTCAAAAGCAATTCTACAAAAATTATAAATTATTTGTTTTTTAAAATATACCATAGCAACTTGAAGAGAAAAAAATCACTAACTTAAATATGTATAAGTTACAAATGA